GCAAATAAGGATAATGGCTAGCCATCTGTTTCTCAACAACTGAAGCTGTAGTATGAACCAAAAATACTTTCCAGCCAAATGTCTGAAGGCAAATCCAGTAGCTGTAAGAAAGTAGTCTAACTGGAAGGATTCTGGAGGAACTATGCTTTGAAATTATTTATAGATGCAGAAGACAAGTAATAGCTGTATTTATGTTGTTGGTACTGTATTTCTCCTTTAATTTCTCAAATAACCTAATTATACAGGTTCTCAGGAGTCTCCAGAGGAAAAGAAATGCTGATGCTGTCAAAAGACAAAATGCTGAATGCGTTTTGAAACTTCTCATATACCATGGCCTGATTATGAGCATCATTAAAATTTTGCTTTGACACTTTTCTGGAATATGACACTATTTAACATTCACAGTAAAAAATGAAGCAATTTCTGATAGCTAAAGAGAAAAACATTTGACTTCTATCAGCAGATCAGTCATTGATTTTCAATACATTGCTATCTAAAAACCAAGTCCTAGAGAGGTTAAACGACTTGGCCAAAATCACACAAACTAGAAAGTAGCAAAGTTGAGATTCACACTGACTTCATTCATTGCCGTATACTACACTGCTTAAATGTGTATGTGCAATTGTTTTTATCTGGAGTATCTTAAATAAACATGACCTTCTTTTAATGAAATGCTTCTCATATCTATAATTGAAAAAAAAATCTCCATTGTAGCACAGCTATTTTCTCATGGGGAAATCTAATGGTTTATATTCTAGAATATAAATCATCGTTTTGACCATGTTGGGAACACCCACAAAGCTCCTTATGCCTCTCCTACCCCTTTTCCATTTTCTATAATAAGGAAGCCAAGATTCCATTATGTCTACGTCAGACCAACTTGTCACTGGTCAAGATTCATTGGTGGTAGGGGCAGCCAGAATCTCTTTTACAACTGAATGCACAAATGACTTCAGCCTGGATCCATTTGGGTTTTAATTCTAAGATTAGCTACCAGAAAACTTCTTACTATGAATGTTTTTTTTTTCCTTCCTAGTGGCTGTTATTAATTAATTCACATGATTGTTCTCTGCAATTAACGCTTTTCTATAAGGAGAAGTTGCCACTCATTTAGTATCACCTGCAAAGACTGATCAAGATTTCTAGCCTGGAAAAGAGAATATTTAAAGTGGACACAATTTTAGGAATATAAATTTAGAGATGGAAGGGACTTTCAAGTTCATATGGTCCCAACCTCCCCCTCCCATTTTACTTTTTTGAGAAAACTGAGAGTCAAAGAGACTAAATGACTTGGTCAAGATCAGTCAGTCAAAGTCAGGATTCGATCACAGATACTAAACTCCAAATACAGGACCTTTTCCACAGTTTCCTAATAACTATTTTTTAATATTTATATCTCAAAATAGATAATATTTGTAAAGTGCTTAATGCAGTACTGGGCCCATAAGTATTAAATAAATATTTGTTTATTTCTTTACACTTGAAAGATTGTCATGTGGAAAAGAGAATAATAATAGCTAACATTTTATAGCATCTACTACGTGCCAAGAGCTTTAAAATTATTATCTCATTTGATACCTAAAACAACCCTGGGAGATAAGTGCTATTATTATCCCCATTTTTCTGATGAGGAAACTGAGGCAAACATGTTAAGTGACCTACCTAGGGTCACTACCCAGCTAGAATCTGAGGCTGGATTTGAACTTGGGTCTTTGTGATTCCAAGTCCAGAGCTATATGCCCTGAGCCACATAACTGCTCCAGATTACATTCATTGTGTTTGGTCCCCACAAGACAGAAATAGGAACAAGGGGTAAGAATTGCAAAGAAGCAGATTTAAGGTTGATATAAGATAAAAAGTTTAAAATAAACTAATTAATAAATTTATTAAGTGCATACCATATGCCATAACTGTCCAATAATTAGAGCTGTTTGACTGCTGGAGTTGAGGAGTGGGTGGAGGAGTGAGTTCCTGGAGAATTTGAGTGCTTAGACTTGTAGAGAAAGAGAATGGGCAGTTCCTGAGCAGTAGCAGAATGAGGTAAAAGAGACATATATGCATGATCCCATAGCTAGAGACAAAGCAAAATACGGAGCTATAATACAGAGGAACAGAAGTCCTGTACTTTGCCCTCCACTATTGCCACAAGTTATTTGGATGGCACAAAGATAGAGTGAAAGCTGGTTGCTATCTAGCAACTGTAAGTTTGTCCCCTTACAGAGGGACCCTAATTCTTTAGGGTAACACAAGACTGGAGGCCTGCATGGTTCAGCAGCTAGGTGGCACAGTGGATAGAGTGCCAGGTCTGAAGTCAGGAAAATTCATCCTCACGAGTTCAAATCTGACCTCAGACACTTTCTAGCTGTGTGACCCTGGCCATGCCACTTAACCTTGTTTGCATCAGTTTCCGTATCAGTAAAATGAGTTAGAGAAGGAAATGGCAAACCACCCCAGTATCTTTGCAAAGAAAACCTGAAATGAGGTCACAGACACAATTGAAATGACAGAACATGACTGAATGTGGCATGGTTCCCTGCTATGAAGAAACCCCCTAAAATGTTGTTGCTTTAGCAACTCCAAGCTCATTTTCCTGCCAAGGGGAATTAATATCCTTTAGATAGTACTGTAGGGCAGGAAGCCTACATGGGATTCTAGGAGGAAGGTAGAACTCATCATAGAAGAGAGTAGAATTGAATTTACTGTGTATGAGCTATTAGGATTCCTCTACGTGTTTTATGAATTTTCTATAGAGAAAAACAAAAGCTGTCTTGTACCCGACATACATTATTACCCAGAGGGCTCACATGGAGACTAGGGAGCCTTTAATCACAGTAACATAGAATTCTATTCTAAGATTCCCAGAGGGAAACTCTTAGTAGTAGCAAAATGATCCAAAGATTTTGGGAGACAGCCCCCAAGACTGGTCTTGTGTAGACCCAGAGTTTGCAATGAAGGGCCACATGTTATATACCCAATTGATTAATAACTTAGCTGAAAAGAAGCACTTAGCATGGAGAGTTGTAATCTCTTCAAAATACGGACATCTATATCGTCCTAATATCATTATCTCTGTTAGCTGGAGGTGGGGAGAGTAAGGGGAGCAAGAATTCTATAGGAATTGCCAATCTGAACTAATCACACGTGCTGTGTACATATGTGACGCACAACATGTGCTGAATCCAATCTTTGTCTCGAGAAAAGTATACTCCTTTCCTGTCTCTCTGAACAGCCTTCATTTTATGAACGGATGCTATTCATTATTTTTACTATCCTCGAAACACTACAAGTCTGTATGATCACCAGGTTAAAAGAAACCTAAAGAAAATTTGAGTGATATCCTGGTTCCTGGAATTTCCAAAAGATGTCAGCATTCAAGAATCTTACTCTCATCGGATTTGGCTTAAGGAGGGAATAACATACACAGTCAATTGGGTACGGAAATCTATCTTACCCTACAGGAAAATAGGGGGGAAAGGAATAAGGAGGGGACGGCAGATTGGGGGAGGGGACAATCAGAAGCAAACATTTTTGAGGAGGGACAGGGTCAAAGGAGAGAACAGGATAAACGGGAGAGCAGGACAGGATGGAGGAAATTACAGTCTTTCACAATATAACTATTAGGAAAGTGTTTTGCATGACTACTCATGTATGAACTATATTGAATTGCTTGCCTTCTCAATGAAGGTGGGTGAGAAGGGAGGAAGGGAGAGAATTTGGAACTCAAAGTTTTAAAAACGAATGTTAACAATTGTTTTTACATGCCACTGGGAAATACAGTATACAGGGAAAGGGGTATAGAAATCTATCTTGCCCTGCAGGAAAATAGAAGAGGAAGAGGATAAGAGAGGGGGTTGGGTGAGAGTATGATAGAAGGGAGGGCAAACTGGGGGAAGGGGTATTCAGAATCCATGCCATCTTGGGGTGGGAGGAGGGAGAGATGGGGAGAAATTTTGGAACTCAAAATCTTATGGAAGTGAATATTGAAAAATAAAAATAAATATGTCAGCATTGAAGCAATGCATTTGCAGCACTAATGCCAAAGGCAAGTAAATTTTACTGAGTTAATCTTTTTAAATTCACAAAATAACTTCCAAAAAAGTTAGAACTGAAAAAGTTAGTGAAGGTTTCATACGTTTAATTAAGGGTTTATGTTTTTTTAAGTATAAGTTGTTTCTTTTTGGTCTCATTTTCAATATTACTTATGCTGAAAATACAACTTTTAATATCCTTGTGCTCTTACCACTGATTTTAATTACTATTATGTAATCTTATCTGCTTGTACTAATGTTAATTAAAGAAAGCCATTTCCAGGTGTATAAATGAAAGAATTGTTCTGTGATACATGGCTTCAAAAAAGCTGAAGGTAATCTTAAGTATGGCTAATTCTGGGTTTACTTAGGCCCTTTTAAAACAAAAATGGAAAGTTAGATGGATCCATGAAAAACAGTATTTTTTTTTTAAAAAGGACTCTTTGCTTATCTGTTTAGGACAGCAGAGGGTGGTTGATTTGGAAGCAGATATCAGAATATTTTTTAAAGTGATAGGGAGAAAAGAAGGAAAAGAAAAGATTTATTGAAATCATGCAACTAACTTGTCAGTGGAAACTGTCTAGCATGCTTGTCTCACTTCATATTGTAAGGGCTGGGATCCCAAATGCATCTTCAAATACAGATTTTGTGTTCATAAAAAATATAGGCCAGAATGAAAGGTAGAGAGATACAGCAGAAAGACCACTGGTTTTGGAGACAGAGGCCCTGGTTCAAATCCTCCTCTGCGATTTATTAACTGTATGATTCAATTCAGTTTAATAAATATTTATCAAGCATCTATGATCTGTCAGGCACTACACTAAACCCTGGAAACAGCTTGGCAAATCTGAACCTCAATTCTTCATCTGTAAAATGAAGCAGTTAAAACTAGGCCCCAAATCTGTGACCTTATGATATTATAGATTCATGATTAAGAAAAGTAGCATATTTGAAAATCACATGTATCATTACCCTTACTCCCATGAACCTGTCTTTCAGCACAATCCAAGAAAGTAAGAAGACAAATGCTTTGTTACAACAGAACAGGGCAGAGACATCTGTGGCTGTCAGTTTCTTTAACGCCAGTAAATACAGGTAATTAGTCAAAGTCCATAGGATAGAAAAGGGAGCAGTCCTTTTAAGAAAGAGCTTCAATGTCAAACCGTCTTCGCCAAAAATCCGACTGCATTCCCTAGGAGAGAAAAGAAGTTAATACTCAAATAGAATTTGCTTTCATGTCTCCTGGAGCATGGAATCACAAAATAACATTCATGACAGAATCCCCCGGGGGGGGATACACACACATGCACAAATAATCATTTATCTTGGAAACATGTTGCACTCTCAATTTTCCATCCTGTGGGTCATAGGTCTTCTAAGGTACAGAACCAGCACAGTCTATTTCTGGATATGCTTCTTAAATCAGAGGGGTAGCCATTCAGCATTCACCATAGCAGCTTCCTGTGCCGTACCAAAGCAGGGCAGAGAATTATGGAAACTGGTAGTTTCTTAGTTTTTTGACAATGGGGGGATTGGAGGGTGCATTTTTCTATGCTCAAGGAATAGTACAAAAGAGCAATTTGAACAGAATCTTGATTTTTGTGGATCATTTAGTGCATGTTTAGGTTCCAGATAAAGAAATAACTGATGTCCAAACCATCATTGTCAATATACCACACACAGAGAGGAGATTTTATAATCACAGGACACTGTAACTTTTCTTTACATTTGTGGGGTGGGAGCGGAGGGGAACGGGGGGAAGGGTGTGCCACTAGAGGTGAAACAACTTTTCTTGGTAGAGAGATAGCGGTAAAGCCTAAATATCCTATTTCTTTTAGACATAGATCATCATAGATATAGACAAATAAGAAAATACAAATTGTTCAACTTCTGGGAGTCAACCAGAATACTGGATATCACTATAGATATTTTGGATCAATGAATGAATTTTGTTTTATTTTTTAAAAACACTTAATTGAATTAAAGGGTGACTGACTGACTTAGTACCTGAAGTGAAATTTGACCAGGCTTATTAGCCAATTCATTCAAAATGGCAAAACTAGTGCGCACATAAATACAGCTTCTATAAACTAAGAGTCAAGTTATAATTAAGAAAATTTTGCTGGGTTCAAAGCAGTGAGCAGTTTACACTTCCAGATTCACTAATGTTCAAAATAAGATTATTTTCACATGGTCCTTGCTGCTTACTTTAGCAATTGTTTCAGAAGGAAGCAATGCATAAGAACTAACCTACCTCAAAGGGAAATGGTAAGGAATCATTAAATAATTCATGCACAGTGTTTTTAGACAAAAGGATGCCCATTAACATAAAGTGAAGTCCATTTGAAAGCCACATTGCATTGAAATATAAAACTTCATTGTAAAAATTTCTTGTCATCCTTCTATCTTCATTCTCATTTAACAGACAACCCCACACCCCCAAACCCTATCCTCTTGCTGGCTTCAAATAGGGAGACATGTTTGAAGTTCCAGCGAGCTATTGGGAGAAGATTAAATTTAAATGTAGAAATTTGTCAGACTTCATTTTATTTGGAAGGTTACCAAACAAGAAGCATATTCTTAGAACCAAACTATGGTTCGGAAAGAAAAAAAAAATGACTTGAGGAGAAAACTTCAATGCAGAAATCAGTCAAATCCAAAGACTAAGAAAGATTTAGTCTTCCATATAGAAACACACACAAACACACACACACACACACACACACACACACACACACACACAAAGAGGTATACTCACTTAAAGGGAAAATGGATGATTTCCTTAGAACTTAATAGCCTCAGACAAAAATTTGAATCAGAGCTCACAGACAAAAGGGCTTTGATAAAGATTTAGCAATCCTTCTTACACTATGTGACTACACTTAAAAACCCAAGTGTTTTGGATAAATACTGCTTGCACAATCTGTTATCTTTTTAATAGCTACTGGGTCACCCTAACTCCTAAAGTCACACAGAACATCACTTAAGACTTATCACGTCTGCTTTTATTTTAAAAAACTCTTTTCTCTCCCAAAACATAGGAAAATTCTATAGGACTTGCTGACAGGCAATGATAGCCCATTCTCATATCCAACCTGATATTCTGTTTATATTGACAAGAAAAGCAGTATGGAGGTCCTTTGTTAAAATATGTATGAACCTGTTCCTCCTTCAGAGTTTCAACAACAACAAAAAAAAGGACTTGTATCTGAAAGGAGAGATTCCCTACCCGCCCCACGCCCAACCATGGTAGACAGCTAGGAGAAGGTGGAAGAGAACGTAGATTATTTGTTGACTGAGGTAATATTGTTCAGCAGCCTTCCTTTTATTTTTCTTCTTCCTCTTAATCATTACTATTGCAGATTGGAAAAGCTATAGCACTTTGAGATCATTGATATTTAAGCCTTATAAAAATACATTTCAAAAATTAAATGGATTTTTAAAATAAAGATTCAAATAAAATAGAACATTCTTGGGAAAGTAACATTAGAATATCTAGCCAAGATGTGTATTATACATAGGAAAAGAAAGCTGGAATATGACAAAGAATGAAACAGTTGTCTGATGAATCTAGATAATCTGCCATTACCATTCTTAATAGCTCCAAAATTTCTGTAAAATTTTTTCCTTAAAATGGTCAATATGAAGTTTTTTGTTTTTGTTTTTCCTACCATACTGTCAAAATCTCCTGATGCAACTGAATTCTCTAGATGCTAACTGAACAACACTGAACAACAAAAATCTAAGTGAAACTTAGGTAACCCTTAATTTCATGTTCTTGCTTCAATCTATGTTTATGAGATTCTAAAGTTATCCTGACCCTTTGGTACATGTTATACGATTTTTTCTTCTTGTTCACTAACATATGTATGTTGTTGTTCAGTTGTTTTCAGTTGTAACTGACTCTCCATGACCCATTTGGGGTTTTCTTGGCAGAGATACTAGAGCAGTTTGCCATTTCCTTCTCCAGCTCATTTTACAGATAAGGAAACTGAGGCAGAGTTAAGTGACTTGTCCAGGATCTCACAGCTAATATGGATCTAAGGCCAGATTTGAACTCAGGAAGATGACTTTAAGCCCAGTGCTCTATCCACTGTGCCGCTTTGCTGCCCACTATATGTGTATGTGTGTATGTTTTTATGTATGTGTGTGTGCATGTGTGTGCAAATTATATGTAAATATACAGAGAAAGTGTGTGTGTTGTCTTTTCTTTGCATCCCCTGTGCTTAGCACAATGCCTGGCCCATAGTAGATGCTTTTTTCTTTTCTTTTTTCAATATATTTTTTATTTATTTTAAAGATTTTTTAAAAAAATTTTGAGGTCCCAATTCTCTCCCTCCTGCCCACCCCTCCCCCACCTACTGAGAAGGCAAGCAATATATTAATTATACATGTGAAATAATGCAAAGCATATTTCCATTTTATCCATGTTTCAAAAAAATCAAGAAAAACAAAGTGAGAACACTATATTTCAATTTGCAATTAGAGTTCACCAGTTCTCACTTTGGAAGTGGATAGCAATTTTTTCATTATGAGTCCTTTGGGATTGTCTTGAGTCTTTGGGTTCATCAGAGTAGACAAGTCTTACACAGTTGGTCATCATTGCAACAACTGCTGTTACTGTGCACAGTGATCTCCTGGTTCTTCTCACTTTACTTTGTATCAATTCATATAGGTCTTGCCATGCTCTTCTGAAATCATTCCCCTTGTCATTTCTTTTTTTTTTTTCCAGGAAGTAAATGGCTTTTATTTAAGAAGCTGGCTGTATGTAAGGGGAAATAGAATACATTAAAAAGGAGACATTCAGAAGAAGGAGTTACTGGGAGGAAGCCATGATGCTGGAAACACTCTCAACTGATCTTTGCCACAGTGTTCTTGGGCTTCATACTTTCTTCTCGGCTGCAAATGAAGACCTATCCTGCCTCATTGGAGTTCCAGTCATATTTGCTCATCCATACTTTCAGCTGGTGTTTGACAGATCTCCCAGCATCTCGGCCAGTAGCCAATATGTCAATATGTGATATCCACAATGTGGCCAATAAGTTTTTGGACAAGTCTTCAAAGCCTGTGATGGCATGATAATCATGATGCCATGTTCTCATCTAGGGCATGCCAGAAAGCTTGGAAATGACAGGTCTCCAGCAAACACAGAATCTGCCTGATGGGCTGCTCTTCATGTCGAGCGTGATCAATTATGTACTTGCACAGGGTGAAGTCCATGTGGGGGAGACTGGTGAGGGTCTTCAGCAGAATCTGGGCTATCATTGTGGTCTGGAAGATGGCCAGGTTGAACTGGTATAGCTTGAGCATGGCCAAGTTGGCTTACAGATCATAGGTGTTCTCCTTGGCTTGGATCTCCACATAGTGCTCCAGGGTGGCCAGTTTTGTATCTGTTGATGCCATTGAGCATCTTCCCCATGTTGGCATCCATCTTCTGGAACAGCACCACATCCTCCTCCTTTTCACAATCAGATGCAGATGTCAAGGCCGAGTCTAGAGCTGCAATCCTCCTCCTCATTTCTTATAGTACACCATGATAATCATAAGCCACAACTTGTTCAGCCATTCCCCAATTGATGAGTGTACCCTCAATTTCCAGTTCTTTGCCAACACAAAAATAGCTGCTTTAAATATTTTTGTACATATATGTCCTTTTCCTTTTTCCTTGTTCTCTTTGGGACACAGACCTAGTAGTAGCATTGCTGGCTCAAACAATATACACAGTTTTATAGCCCCTTGGGCATAGTTCCATATTGTTTTCCAGAATGGCTGAACCAGTTCAAAACTCCAACAGCTTATTAGTGTCCCTATTTTTCCCTTATCCCCTCCAGCATTTGTCATTTCTGATAGGTGTGAGGTAGTACCTCAGAGCTGTTTCAATTTGCCCTTCTCTAGTCAATAGTGATTTAGAGCACTTTTCATATGACTATAGATAGCTTTGATTTCTTCTTCTGAAAACTGTGTATATCCTTTGATCATTTATCAGTTGAAAAATTACTCTTATTTTTATAAATTTGACACAGTTCTATACTTAATGTACTTTTGAGAAATGAAGTTTCTATCAGATTTTTTTATATTACTTCATTAACTATGGTACCTTTTAGCAAAATGCAGTTTCTCTGATTATCCCTTTTAATCAGGTCTGGTTTTGCTTTTGCTTTTTCTGATATCATGATTGCTACTTGCAGGGTCCTGACTGGGGAAAAGCCATAATGCACAATAAGAAGCAAAAAGCCATTAACTTAAACTCTGTGAAAGGTGGAAGCCCAGACATGGTGACCTGTCAAAAATCATAACTTATATACTGAATCATAACTTAGATACTGTGACTTAGTACATGACCATTATTTGACCAGTACCCAGGCATTTACCCAACAGCACTGGGAAAACACCTGGATATCTGGGAACCAGGTTCAATACTAAGTATAAATTAAAATATTAGTCAAAACATTAAGTAAGCAGAAAAACCTGAAATATCCACCAATCTGCAGTGAAGCACCCAACGGCTCCTCTTCCCTTTGTCTGATATCTATAATTACCATGGGGATTTTGGGAAGGTATTCAAGGGGATCCACTATTTGACTGACTGCCACCCCAGACTGCTGATTATCTGAGCTCTTGGCGGGGATCCATCATACAAGCTCCCAGTGTAAGTAACCCAATTGATTAACTACTACTACAATCTTGAGCTCCTTGTCTTCTTCTTTCAGTATCAAACTCACCCAAGGTTATGAGGAAGGTATAGGATTCCCTGGCCATTCCTTCCATTCCTTTAGCATAGAAGATGCTAAATCTTGTGTGATCCTGACTGTGGCTCCATGTTATTTTAATTGTTTCTGGCTGCTTGAAGTATTTTCTCCTTGCCCTGGGAGGTCTGGAATTTGGCTATAATATTCCTGGGAGTTTTCATTTTGGGATCTCTTTTGGGAAGTGATCAGTGGATTTCTTCAATTCCTATTTCACCATCTGGATATCTTGAAATATGATGTCTAGGTTCTTTCTTTGATCATGGCTTTCAGATAGTCCAACAATTCTTAAATTATCCTTCCTTGATCTGTTTTCCAAGTTAATTGTTTTTCTAATATTTCACATTTTCTTCTATTTTTCATTCTTATGACTTTGTTTTATTGTTTCTTGATATCTCACAAAGTCATTAGTTTTCACTTGTTCAATTCTAATTTTTAAGTAATTATTTTATTCAATGAATTTTTGTGCTTCCTTTTCCATTTGACCTTTTCTGCTTTTTAAGAAATTCTTTTCTTCAGTGAATCTTTGTGCCTCTTTTACTGTTAGGCCAATTCTGTCTCTTAAGGTATGATTTTCTTCAGTATTTTTGTGTATCTTTTACCAAGCTATTAATTCTTTTTTCACTATTTTCTTGCATCACTCTCATTTCTTTTCCCATTTTTTCCTCTACCACTCTTATGTCTTTCTTTAAAGCTTCCAGGAATTTCTGTTGGACTGGGGTCAGGATTTTTCTTTGATGCTTTTTTTGTAGTTGTTTTCACACTTTTGTCTTTTTCTGAGTTTATGTCTTGGTCTTCCCTGACACCCTAGTAACTTTTTATAGTCGAATTACTTTCGGATACTGTTGTTTGCTCATTTTTCCAACCTATTTCTTGACTTTGAACTTTATGTTAAAGTTGGGCTGTGCTCACCTGGGAGTGAACAGGCATTGTCCCAAGCTTCAGGCTTTTTCATAATGCTATTTTCAAAACTAGTTCTGGAGGTCTGCAGGTTCTTAGTGCTTCCAAAGTGATGTGATCCTACTGTACTGGTCTGCACTCTGGTCTTTACTAAGGAAAGTCCCCTGGTCTTCTGCAGTTGCATGTGCTAGAACTCCTCCCTGCTTTGGTGCTGTGACCAGCACTTGTGATCCCATGTGACCAACCACCATCACTTCTTTCCACCCTGGAACGGGAACCCAGAACTGCATATGGGCAATGGAGTTCCACTCATTGCCAGTACTCAGTGCTCAGTTTTACTCAGTGCCAGCAAAAGGTTCCCTGTAATCTCTTTCTCAGCAGTTGTCTGACCCCTTTACTATCTCTTGGCTAAGAGATCTCAAAGCTGTTGCAACCACAGTTACATGTATGGGCTCTGGACAGACCTCCACCCCAGTGATACAGAATTCTCCTTCCAACCTCTTAAGTTTTCTTGCACCAGAAAAAAATCTCACTCCAACTTTTTATTGGCTCTACTGCTCCAAAATTTGATTTAGGGTATTATTTTAAAGTTGTTTATGGGGAAGGCTGAGAGACTTCAGCTGGGTGGTTGACCCTAATCCACCATCTTGGCTCCTTTATAGTAGGTCCTTAATACATGCTTATTGACTGACTGACTGACTTCTATTTTTGAAGGATAGAAGCTGATTCCTAAACAGGTAGTGTTCCTTAGCTTGGCCACCTGATGTTTTTTCAGCTTTGAACAATCTTGACTTTCAAAAAACAAAGAAAGTTATTTTTATTCCATGACACAAGTAAATTGTATACATGACTGAATTATCTGGATCATTCTCAAATAGGTAACCTTATGGGTTATAACATGTCGTGTTGGTACATAGTTGAAAGAAAACCTACAAATGCTATCATGCAACTTAAGAGAAAGATTCAAAAAGTGAAGTGCTGGCATAAATTCTTTCCCCTGTTACTCAGACTCCAACTCTGGTGCTCAAGTTCTTATTTTTCCAAAGAGCAGAGAATAAATGAAGACCAAATTCAGCTTCTTCTCTTCTTGGTAGGTGACATTTATGAGAATAGAGGGAGTAGGAATCAAAGCTTTGGGAACTTTTTAGCTACATTTGTCTTGCATGTGAAGAGGAACCCCAGGAGAATATTCCCTTCATAGTAAATGCTTTGTGATTGACACAAGTCTTTTGATTTGATTACAAGCATGTTGAAACTTCATTCCAACAAAACTCACAGGTGAATGTGTCTAGTCTCATCATAGGTTTAGGGAAGTTCTGAGTTATTAATCAGACACACGACAAGTGGAGGAAATAAAGTTTACTCCCAAGGTAACATTTCCAGTCAAGAGCAAAATATCCAAATCTTTTTTTTAAGCAGATAATTTCAAATAAAATTGGCTTCATTTGCTTTGGAGTAATCTGGAAGCATTTCACAGCCTTTTTTTTTTTTTTTTTGGTAAACTATACTACTAAACTGTAAGAACTTTAAAATAGGAATACATATGCAAACATACATATGTACATATATGTATACAGTAAATTATTTGTTGATATAGGTCTGTGCAAAATATTAACATGTCCAATATAGCCATATGGTGTTTATAAATCTCCTTATAATTACTATATTAAGCATAGTCATAAAAATATACACCCCAATGCTGCACTTATTTTGGTGGAAGTTGAATACAAAATTATCTTTAGCAGCCAATTACAATTTTAATTGCAATTTTTAAATGATTTCATATTTATTCCTTTTTGTGAAAATTTAAGTCTATAAATGGACACACATTCCAAACCATTTTGAATCTGTGAAGTATTCTCAATAGTTAATAGACAGGACACATTGTGTGCAAAACTATTTTGCTGCTTCTTTGAATTTTTTTTAGATGGCTCCATTTTAATAATCAGCTTCTTCCTTGGCACTAAATACTAGGAAAAGAAAAAAGTTAAGTTCCCAGCCATTCTGCTAAAATCAGTAAAGTGCTAAGAAAGTATAGAATGGCCTTATATCTTGATTACAGCTATCATTTCTACTGTGTTATTAGCTGGCTTATCCCACAACTCTGATTTTCTCCTTGTTGAGATGCTGGATTCTGATCATTTCTTTAGCTCAGGGTGCTTAAATGGAGCTGTGGGGAAGCCACATAGACTCAATTAGTTGCTGCAGTTAACTGAGCTCTCCAAGATGAATGCTGCAGAAGCTTGGTTAATTACATAACAAGCACTAGCCCTCACAAACTCAAACCTCTCATAGGATCATAGGATTACAGGACTAGACCAGCCAGGAGGTTACTGACTAAACAGGTACAGAGTGCTCTGTCTCTATCTCTGTCTATCTCTCCCTGTCTCTGTCTCTCTTTCTCTGTCTCTCTCTCTTCCTCCCTCCCTTTCTCTCTGGTGCTGTCCCTCTCTGTCTGTTTGTCTCTTTGCCTCTATCTTTCTCTCTGTTGCTCTATCTGTCTGCTTCTGTCTCTGTTTCTGTCTCTCTGTCTCTCTGTCTTTCTGTCACTCTCTGTCTCTCTGTTTCTCTCTATCTCTGTCTCTCTCTCTCTCTCTCTGCATCTCTGTTCCTGTCTTTCTGTCTGCTTCTGTCTCTGTTTCTGTCTCTCTGTCATTGTCTCTCTCTGTCCTGTCTGCCTGTCTGTCTGTCTTTCTCTCTGTCTCTGTTTCTCTGTGTGTGTCTGTCTCTCTCTCTGTGTCTCTCACTTTCTGTCACTGTCTCAGTTTTTGTCTCTCTGTTTTTCTGTGTGTCTCTGTACGTGTGTGTCTGTTGTGACTGTCTCTCTCTGGCTCTCTCTTTGTGTCTTTCTCTGTGTATCTCTGTTGCTGTCTCTATTTCTGTCTCTCTTTGTGTCACTCCATCTCTGTCTCTGTCTCTGTCTCTCTGTCTCTCTGTTCCTCTTTCTATCTCATACAAACAACACACACACATACACATTTAGCCAGCAGAGTAGTACTCATATGTGCAAAGTTCCCATTTTAGTAAAACAGAATAACAATAGTTGGATGATTTTAATCTGTTTATGCACCACAGGATCAGGAGCTCGAGCTGAATTCTGCTTTGTACTCATTGCCCAAGCTCTTCTCCATATTCTCAACTATTGAAACTCCCTCTACCAATACAAATCCAGAAATGTTTTATGATTTACAGTGTTTGAGAGTTGCCAGGGGCACAGAGAGGTACTACTTACCTCTCTTAAATGACTTGCTCACTCTCCCAACCAGTATGTGTCAGAGGCAGGACTCAAACCTAGGTCTTCCTATCTTTGTCTGGCTCTCTACCCATTGTGCCATGCTGCTTCTCTGGGCATCTCAATTCAGATTGTAAATTATTTAATGACATCCCATTAAAATGAAACTTACCTGAATTTTTTAATTGGAGACTGTTTTTCTTGAGCAGTAGCCAGATGGCCAGAATAATAGACTGGGAAAAACATAATGTTCCAGTTTGTTGAAAACCAAGTCATGAAAAATGGACAATAGAAGTTCTTATATGTGATCTTTACAATCTGTGTGGTTCCAACCCAAGAGGATGAGACAGACAAAATGATCAAGAATCCCCAGACGACCTTGAGAAAGAGAGTTGCACATGACTGGCAGCGAGTCTTGACTCTGTTTTCTTGGCTATTGCTGTCTGGATGGGTCTGTGCCCCCTCATCTCCTGGAAGAAGGAGATGAGATACACATACATTAAGTCACCTGAATTGAAAAGCATGACATTCAGATGTTTCATTTCCTAAATATCTCTTCAATGTATCAGAAACAGTCTTTTAAGTGTAAGCAGATACTCCTTTGCTGTCTTACCAAAGATTGGCTAAAGCTGAAAACCGAAAGAATACAATATTAAAGAGAAATGTGTGCTTTCTGTATTTTGTTTCTATGATAAGAGTCAAGAGAAAAGCTCCAGTGAAGTCTTTGTGTCATCCATTTTCTGTGGTGGAGGAAATACAAACTGTGCTATACCTGATGTTCAAATTTTATATTGAGTGTCTATGCAAGATGTGGTGGCCTGATGCCCACTTTTGGGGAAGCACAAGAAATAAGGCACACCTAAGGTTTGTTTTAGACTATGGGTGAGGAACCTGCAGCCTCAAGGCCACATGTGGCCTTCTAGGTCCACAAGTGCAGCCCTTAGACCAAATCCAAACTTCACAGAACAAATCCCCTTAATAAAGGGGTTTATTCTGGAAAACTTGGACCAAGTCAAAGGGCCTCACCTAAGGCCACACTCACATGTGGCCTCAGGGACGTAGGTTCCCCGCTCATTTTAGACATTTAGAGTTCTAGTCTGCAGCAATGGAAAATTAGCCAAAGAGAGAAACACTCAGGAGGCAGGTCCCCAAGACCAAATTGGTTTCATGTGAACCCAGAGCCTCTGGGGGCCCTGGCAACAAGTAATACTTTTCTTGCCCCCATTCTCAAGGCAAAGTAAGATGCAGCTCATGCTTGGACTAATGTTCTTACCCCTCCAAAAGTACAATATACATTTAAAATCTAAACTCCTTATTCCATGAATATATTCATAATTTAGAAACTAATATTTCTTGGCAGCTAGGAGTTAATAATGACTACAAAATGTCTTTTCCTAGATGAGTAACCATGATCAAATCAATTCTAACCTCAAACCTCAGTTTCCTCTATTGTAATGTAGGCATAATATTTGCATCTACAAGGACAGCTAGGTGGCACAGTAGATAGAGCTCTGGCCTTGGAGTCAGGAGGACTTGAATTCAAATCTGGCCTCAGACACTTGACACTTACTAGCTTAACCCCGATTGCCTCACCAAAAAAAAAAAAAAAATTGCACCTACCTATTTCACAAGGTTGTTGTAAAGAAAGTTCTGAGTAGACCTTAAAGTTATATCTACATAAATATGGGTTATGACTAATAATGATAACAGTATTTCAAGGATCTTTGGTTTCTTTGGGGTGGGTTATTCTATCCAATGGTGTCATTCTCAACCATTGCACATCTTTAGTAGAGAGACAGTTTTGTGAGTTTCTGAGGTCAAAATAATTCATCATCTATTGGCCAACTTTCTTATTTTATTTTAAATTTTATTAAAGATTTTCTTTTTGTAACACATACATTTTCCAATATATATGTATACTCTTCCCCTTCCAGAGAGTTATCCCATATAATGAAAATTTTGAAAAGAAAAACAAAACTAAAAAATAGAAGCCCAACTTTATAAGTAGTGCTCCACATACATAGTCCCCCATATTTGTAAAGAAGAGAAAGAGGTACATTCTCATATTCTATCTCTTCTTTGGGGCTAGAATTAGTTGTTATAATTCCATAGCATTCAGTTTCAATTGATTTTTTTCCCATTTGACATTGACTCCAAATAACACTTTTGTGTGTGCACATATGTGTGTGTACACATATATACATATACACATAAAATGTTATCAGGAAAATTTTATATGTATGTATATATATATATATATGTATGTTATATATATATATATATGGGGGGGTGCATGTATATATGTGTGTATAATTTTCCTGATCCTGCTTGCTTCATTTTGTATCAGTTTATATATTTATATTCATCATTCTCTGGATTCATCATGTTCATTTTTTCTTACAATGTCATAACATTCAATTATATTCATATATTATAAAGATTATCATAGTGCTAGGAATCAGTTTTTTGACTGTCTATAAAATGTAGATGTTAGTACATTAAACATGAGATACTTAACTAAGTGTACTATCAGAGATGTTGAATCATATCAATCTTGATCTTCTCATTATAAACAAAATTAATAAAATAATAAAATTAATAAAATGCAGCTAAACATGTGGATGGATCAGAGGAGAGGCAAACAAAAGAATTGGAACTGAATTTATCTTATTCCAAAGCAGCAAGAAATATCATTCCTAGGAACATCTCATGTCAGCTCATACTGCAATACAAGTAAGAAGTATTTGCAAAAACATTGCATAAAAATATTTGCTGATTATGTATCAACATGGGTTGTTAAGGATAAAGTGGTAAAGAAATTTCCAGGAGAACTTGTTAAGAGCCTCCAAATTAGGTCAATGTAGACTCTGACATTTTACAAATTCAATGAAAAAGTGAGAAATAATGAGGATGGTGAGAAATGTAGGAGAAATCATGGTTCAGAAAAAGGGAAGGAGAGAAGCCAAAGATGTGTAGATTATCTGAATCCTTATTTTCAAGAAAATAATTAGTATTGTATATGGTTAGTTCTGAATAATACCATTAAAAGGTGAAATATATTTCATTTTAGCAGACAAAAAGACAATGTAGCATAGTAGATATCCAGCTTCAAAGCCAGAAGAACTGGGTTCAAGTCTTACCTCTGTCACAAATTGGCTATGTCACCCTAGGCTTAACCTCTAAGTGTCCTAGGAAACTCTTTATGACTATAAGTCTTATAAGAGAAAGTGCCATCCTACATTGGTAGAGGGAGTTCCCTCATTCAGAAGTTCCTGATATCAATGAAGCCACAAGTCTAGTCTCTAATCTTTAACAGACAGGAAATTACTTGTTATCAATGTAGAATTTATCTCTGAATGAGCATTTTACAGTCAGGTCACTGATTTGCCAAGACCGAGATAGGAATGAGTAAAAAGTAAGAATAATAATGAGAAAAATATGGCATACATCAAAATCAACTTATACTTTGAACTATTTTTGGGGGGCTAAGCAATGGGGTTAAGTGACTTGCCCAGGGTCACACACTAGTAAGTGTCAAGTGTCTGAGGCCAGATTTGAACTCAGGTCCTCCTGAATCCAGGACCGGTGCTGTATCCACTGTGTCATCTAGCTGCCCCTTGTTTTGAACTATTTAAATAAAGAATAGGCAATAAAATGGAGATGGACAAAAGAAATTATATTGACATCACTTACAATGACTTCACACAGAAGCTTACTCTATGTAAATCTAATGCCCCAACACAAAGATCAGTAGAACCCAGAAGGTAGCTTAATCAGCAAACATTTGACTTCCTCATGAAGTAGAGAGAGATGACAGCCAGAGGGAACACCAGGTTAGAATATCTACTCATTTGTAAAAATCTTATCAAGAAGGTTGTTGGCTAGCTGAGTGACCTTGGGCAAGTCACTTAACCCTAATTGCCTAAAAAAAAAAAGCCAAAAAAAAAAAAGAAGGTTGTTGGATGATTATGAATGCCTGATAGAGCTGAGAGAATCCGTAGAGGGTAAGACAAGTTCAAAGAGAATTTGGCAAGATATCCAAATGAACAAAGAAATCCCATAGGCTTTCAAGGATGAAAGTGGAAGGAGGGCAATACATTTTAAAAAGAACAATTTGCAAAAAAAAAAAAATCATTAAATGAACTTTTTCTCCATCAAGGAAAGTGGGAGTATTGCATTTGGTCCCTAAAGTCACAACCCCAGATGTGCCTATAGGGGTTATAGAAATGACAAGAAAAAGAACAAAGAAAGAAAAAACAGCCAGATTGGACCAATTATAATGATGTTTCAGAGTTCAATATAAAAAGTATCTGAAAAGCATAAGATGTCAAAGGTGTGGGGGAAATCTGAGACTTTATTAATACCCCCCCAAAAAGCAACTTAGAGAACCTCACTACCTACTAATCTGTCTGCCTGTTTTCCTATCCATACAAAACCTTTATAAGGGTCACTGCTACATGAATTGAGGCATCCACAATGATGGTATTTGCAGAGAATATTCAGACTTTCATGAATGATATTCAACCATGGATCACATATGTCCCACTTTGCAATTGACTTAGAGATGTAGAGATTATAAGAATCATTTGTTGATTATGAAAAAACAAATGTTTGATTTGGCAGAGGAAAAGACTCCCTTCAAGGCTGTTTTCCAGCAAGATATCTCATATTCATCCATCAAAATTATTCAAAATTCCTTGCAAGACATAACAACAAAGATAATTCTATTCAAGGATCCTCTGATTGTAAGCAACAGAGGAGGCATAAAACAGTCAAATAGAAGATCAAAGTATTCTCCACTGTCTAGCACAGAGTACAAGCTGAAGGAGTATTCCCTGTGGATGGTGAAGTCCTTCTGACTGATGATGTCAAATTCAAATAGAAATGGAGGCCACTAAATTATACATAGACCTTACATTGGCTTAGAAACCCACATTTTAATATTATTTATGTTTTGTGGTATTTTTATTTAAGTATTTCCAAATTATAGCTTAATCTGGTTTGGGTTGTACTCAGGAGTGATGTGGCCTTTGGGCTACTTGACACCCCTACTCTAAACTGAGTATATATACACTGGCTATTATCCAGATGACAACGTGCATTTGGATGAGCAACTAACAGTATTTGTTCAGCAGTATGAATCTGTGTGACTAATATTGCAGATAGATAATTCGTTGAGCCTGAGATAAAAAAGGAGGAGATGAGAAGGCTGGATTACTTTCAGGAAACTGCAACGTTCTTTCAACACTCCAAACTTACCATGGAAGCAAAGACGTATCTCTTTAATATTAATGTTCTATTAGGCTAGCTATATGGCACAACCATGTTCTGAAAAATTAAATTGGAATATCAAAGGTGAAGGAAGTGGTGAGGCATATGGCAGGTATGAGAAACCTCCAACATAAAATGAATAAGGAACTTTGAGGAATAGGAAAAAAATATTTAATCAAAGAAAATTATAACAAAAGAA